ATGAAAGTTATTGTTAGTATTATTCCCATTAACAAGATGAGGATATCAAGCTTAAGAGAATTTTATTTTCTCGTCTAAGAAAGCAACTTAACCATCATACTATTTGGCATCCATTTAAATTAGTCCTTCTCTTAATTGCTGCTGTCTCACCATTTAAAGTTTTTATTTATTAGCTATAGTATAAACATTTTTCTCTATTTGTAGCAAATATTTAGAACCTCAAACAGTAGACTGAACCACAGCAGTGGTCATGCTAAGATAAATCCATTTTGAAACCTGACCCGAAATTTTATTTGAAGGTAGAAGGGGAAGAAAAAAATTGTGGGCTGGGAAGGGGAAGGGGCCTGCGGAGACAGACACACAAATCTTCTCTCAACAATCTGACAAAGAGCCGGCAGAGTGAATCTAGCCTCCACCTCTCATGAACATACAAATAACCACACCTCTCCTGTGTGCTCATTTGTAAGTATCTCCAATGCAGCCCACACTTTGGCCACTGCAATTACTCTCAGCAGTTCCCATCGCTTTCCTCACACTTGACACCTTCATTTCCATTCAGTCAGGCCCTTCAACCACCGCCACCCCCAGTAACATACAATCTAATTTAAGTTTCTAGGGTTTTTTTGCTGGGGTAGGGGGGCCGAGAGAGAGGGAGAGAGAGAATTCCAAGCAGGCTCCACACTCTCAGTGCAGAGCCCAATGCAGAGCTTGAACTCATGAACCATGAGATGATGGCCTGAGCTGAAGTCAAACACTTAACCGACTAAGCTGCCCAAGCACCCTACATACGATCTAATTTTTAAAAAACCAAGCAAACTATTGTGCAAATAGAGCTCCCGGCCAATTCCCCCAGCCCCTCCATCCAACCACATCACCGCTCTGCAGCCCCTTCTGTAGAAAGTCTGGAGGTGCTATTACCTTCACTAATTTTCTATTACCAACTAATGCAAAACAAACATTTTAAACATCAAGCTTTTATTCAAACTCTTATTGTATCACCAAATATAACAGAAACATATATTCCACAGGGAACAACCACCTTCTCAAATCTTCTCTTTCAAATATTCAGGAAGTTTTTCTCAGTTCAGGGGGTCAGAGGAGCCAGCACCCTTCACTCCCCACCAGCATTTCCAGACCATTTGTCTATGACTGTTTCCCTATACCACCCTCTCTTCTGAAATCCATGCCATTAATTTTACTTTCTATGTGAAGTCTTCCTGGATACCCTCCCCTAGAAAAATTTCTCCTTCATATGCCTCACGCTATTTACTTTTCTATAGCCAGGCAATAAATTAGTAAGTGGATAGGATATATTTATAAAGAAAACTCCTACAATCTAAACCCCAACTGGTAATTGCTATCCGCAAGTCTGTTTGTTTATGTGGGAGTGGGGAGCAGGAGACTAATATTGGTGCTAAGTGGAGGAAAAAGAGGCCTACTTGGAAACAAGATCCACCAAAAATGACTACCCAATAATGTCTTTGGAAGAAGGGGTTGGGGAGGGAGGGTATGGGAGGTTCTAAGTAAAACCAAGTCTTAAGTAGCAGAAGCACATTCCGTGCTAAGAATCTAGTTCAACAGGAGACACATACACTATTTTCAACAGAAAATCCCAGAGTGTTCAAAACATAAACTGCCAACTTTTAAGGAATTATTCATGGTCTTCTATTAGAAAAAGCCACCAGCCTGTTTATAGCAGCATTATCTACAACAGCCAAATTACGGAAACAGCCCAAGTGGCCATCAATTGATGAATAAAGAAGATCTGGCATGCATGCATGCGTGTGTGTGTGTGTACATATATATATACATATACATATATATACACACACATATATATATAATGGATTATTAGTCATAAAGAATGAAATCTTGCCATCTCAATGACATGGGTGGAGCTAGAGAATATTTATGCTAAGTGAAATGAGTCAGAGAAAGACAAATGCCATGATTTCACTCATACATGGAATTTAAAAAAATAAATGAGCAAAGGGAAAAAAGACAGAAAGACAGAGAGAGAGAGAGAAACCAAGAAACAGACTCTTAACTACAGAGAACACACAATGGTCACCAGAAGGGAGGTGGTGGGGGGATGAGGGAAATAGGTGATGGGGATTAAGGACTGCACTTGTCATGATGAGCACAGAGTGACATATGGAAGTGCTGAACCACTATATTGTATACCTGAAACTAATATTACACTATGTTAACTAAAAAAGGAGGAGGGGGAGGGGGAGGGGGAGGGGGAGGAGGAAAGGAAAAAGAAAAAAAGGCTAGCAGGGAATGAAACATGCTCTCAGGATTAAGAACCCTTTCATCCTCCACTGAGTCCTTTCATTTTCTGGCAAGTGCAAGTTTAATACGCATATCCCCAAGTAAGACTTTTGACTTCGTAAGGTTTTTTTGCCGTAGTAAATAATTTTCAGATTTATAACAACATATTTCTATAACTTGTATCATGAATGCTTTGTACATACTAGGCCTGAAAAAAAGGATCTGCTTAATTTAATAACTGAATTTACTAACTTCTCAAGTAGCCGAGAGGCTTCATAACAAAAGACTAATTGTAAGGAGTATTTGGAAATATAAATGAAAAAAGAACATTTGTCTGAAATCTAAGTATTAAAATATCAGATATAAAACAAGTGTGAAAATTACTGAAACAAAAAAAAAAAAGAAAAGAAAAGAAAAGAAAATTACTGAAACCAGGTGATGGAAACAGGAGGGTTCATTATACCAGTCTCCCTACTTTCATGCACGTTTGGAAAAGTCCATAATCAAAAAGTCAAAAAATTAAGATACAAACAAATGTAGAAAAGCTCTCAGAGTTGCTTACGCCGTAAGTGACCATGAGATGAGCTGACACATAAGCTCGGTATGGCCAACGCCTGCACAAACCAGAATGAATGTTAATGAAGGGGACCAAAAGCAAAACATAAAACAGGACTTCGTTTAGTGAGGCCAGGTAACGCCAGCCTTCTTCAGAGCATGAATCCAAAAGGCTGAGGAAGGCAGGGCAGCGCGGACCCACTCTTGACAGCCTGTATGTATGAAAGCAGCAGCGGTGGGCAGTACGCCCTGTGGGGCCCACTTCCCTCAGTTAATTCTATGCCAGGGACACAGGGAGGGGCAGTTTCAGGGATAAAATCATCTGCCCAATGTTCTCCATCCACTTCCAACGCGCTTGTGATCTGCACCATCACACATTAGCAGTGGTAGGAGCTCAGCAGCTCATCCCTGAGGTGTGCAGGACACAATCAGCTTAACATAAGACTACTCTATAAAAACAATGGCAAAGAAGAAAGTAGGGAGAAATGAGGCGGAGGAGGAAAGTGACCCCTTTCAAGGACATATTTGTAAGCAGAAAAGTAACTCAACAAAACTTTTAAAAGGAGGTACAGGGGGTCTTAGGTTAATGCTGCTTTAACCCACATTTTAAGGCAGAAATCACAAGATCTGAGTCCAGTTCCCGTCAAAAGCTCAAAGGTGAACACATGTTCTACTTTTGTGGCAATGTCAGATACAACCACGTGGGGAGGAGAGAATATTATTAAAACTTTGTCTGCTTATCCACAGAGATGTAACTTTCCCCCTACACGGCATGGAAAGAGTTTCACTGTAAGATACATGAAACTAAATTTTTTAAAAGAAATTAGAGAAATAAGATAGTAATTGACATTTTACACTGAGCAATAGAAAGGACTTTTCAGTGTTTTTCATAAAGACTAATAACACCAGTAACTAGCACTTGAACATTTTCTAATAACAGAAAAAAACTGTCACAGAAAAGCCACAGACTTTACACTAAGAATGAAGTTATAGTCATCATAAGGCACTTTTTTATCTCTCAGGAGGTGTTACTTTGTAGAGTGTTTAAGCACCTGTGTGCATTGTACACACGGTACTCCTAAAGGTTGTAATTTTCAGAGGGATGTGAAATAAAAACACACGAGAAACTTCTCACGTGTTATAAGTAACCACTATATTTTAAAATCAGTTTTAAATTGAAGACAAATGAAAATTTAATGCTAAGATGATATTACCAGAAAAATCATAAAAACGTACCCTAAAGAATACAAATACATTTGGGGAAAACAAGAATAAATCTCTAGCAATCACACTAATCACATTTAAAATCTTAGAAAATAGACAGATTGTAAAACACACCTTAAAAATATTCACGGGATAAGTACATTAGTAGATGTGCACTTACAAATTGTAACATCGGTGGCAAAATCACCCTCGAATGTAAAATTTTACTTGTTATTAAAATGTGGTCGATATTTAAGCAAACCCAAAAACACACTATGAGAAGGCAAGGAGACAAACACACAGCATTAGTGGGGATGTATCTGGTCCTTTGTCCTGATCCAAGGATAGACAGCAAGGATCAGTCAGCGCATTCTTCCTTCTTGAGCCCAAACAAACCCTCAGAATCATTCTAAACAAAGCATGTCAGATAGTGTCTACCGAGAGACCGCAGATAAAATATTGAATTAAACCTATTTTCTATCCCTAGTCTAGGATTTCAGTGACATAAAACACTTAAACAGATTTTTAGACAATTATTTTTAAATCAGAAATGGTTATATTTTCATATTATTTAGAATTCACTTAATCAAGAAATGGATTCCAATAAATTTTTCACTTTAAAGACCAAGATCTATCACAGAAACAACCACAAAAGCAAATGAATGTAATTGGCAAACCTGATTCCATTAGTAAGAAACAATGGAATAATATACTGCTTTCTTTTAGAAAAGAAAGCAACCCTTTCAAGAGTGCAGACAATGAACGTACTCGGCCGTTAATAAGTGTACTGATGAGACAGAAAAGGTAATACCCTTTTCAACAGAAGCAATACATTCTCTCATTCTCCACTTACTAAGGTGGGAGAGTGATTTAAGGCTTGAAAATCCTGGATTTTCAAGGATGAACAAAAGAAAAAGTAAAGGGTTGATTTATGGCATTAACAAAGATTTCAAACACTTAACACTTACTTTTGCAAAAGCTTCAAAAATGTCAAAGGAAGGTGGCAGCTGAGAAGCATCCTGTATTTCTTCTCTCATGAAATGTTGAAATGTCATTACAAGTTGCCTGAGGCCCTCTTTCTTATCTTCGGTCAGTTTGTTAATATCTTTTTTAAAGGGAAAATAAATAGCACAATCACACAGTGAATTTTTAATGGATAACTTTCAGGTGTTCAATGTTAGCTATTAAACCAGAATTTCCTGCTCTAGATTTCATTCTGACAGAGAGCAAATATGTTTCTTTTTATTTGCTGACAACTACAAATTATGATACATATATTATCAATTAAATTCTGCCAAACTTCATCAACAATATAGGATCAAATGCCTATCAAAACAAAATAAATACACACACAGATGAAAACCACTACAACCAGAATCGGTAAAGATGTGCGTTACAGATTCTCCACATTATCCTGTGCATGTGTTCAAGCCATCATAAATGCTTAAAGTCAATGAATTTAAGCATATTTTCCCATGAAACAATTTACAACCAGAGCATAACTAACTGATAAACAGTGTATCTCAAAGGCAGGAAAAAAAAATGAGAAGTAAAAAGTTCAGCTAAAGTTCATTTGGTGAAATGCGTCACATAGCACATTGAGAAGGAAACAGGGACCAACCCAAGAAACCCCAACTTCAAGTTATTTCCACACTGAATGAACAAGATGTGGTGCTGTTTACAGCACTGTCCACAAGAGCCAAAGTCTGGAAAGAGCCCGAATGTCCATCAACAGATGACTGGATAAAGAAGATGTGGTGTGTGTATAATATATATGTGTGTGTGTGTGTGTGTGTGTGTGTGTACACATATACACACAATGGAGTATTGCTTGGCATTCAAAAAGAAGGAAATCTTGCCATCTGCAACAACGTGGATGGAACTAGAATGTATCATGCTAAGTAAAATAAGTCAGTCAGAAAAAGACAAATACCATATGACGTTACTCACATGTGGAATTTAAGATACAAAACAGATGAACATAAGGGAAGGGAAGCAAAAATAATATAAAAACAAGGAGGGGGACAAAACAGAAGAGACTTAAATACAGAGAACAAACTGATGGTTGCTCTGGAGGGGTTATGGGTGGGGGTTGGGCTAAATGGATGAGGGGCATTAAGCAGGGCACTTGTTGGGATGAGCACTGGGTGTTATACGTAAGAGGATGAATCAATGGAATCTACTCCTGAAATCATAATTGCACTATATGCTAACTAACTTGGATATAAATTTAAAAAATAAATAATTAATTAATTTAAAAAAAAAAAAAAAAAAAAAAAAAAAAAAAAAAGATGTGGTGTTGCTAAAACCCAAATAGAAGGAGAAGGTTCCAAAGAGTAGTTATCCAAATATCACCCCTTTGAAAACTCAGTTTAATCTGTACCACAAAAACGTGTTAAGACTAAGGAGTGTACAATTAATAACATCTGAGAACACTGTACTTAAGGCAGCACGTGTGAAACCACTACTGAGCAGGGCTAATGTTAACAGTAAAACTCACTGCAAGAGATGTTAATTACCTAGCCATAATATAACACGAAAAAATGACTAATTACTTCTCTATTAAAACTTGAAAACACATCAAGTTGAACTATAGCATAATTCTCCTGCTCGTGTCAGGTCTACATATTCTCTTTAAATTACTTGTTCAACGGAATAATTAACCCCATGATTTCTTGAATAATAATTTATTATCACTGGCACTTAGGATCCCATAACCATAAATCTATACAAGATCATCTTCTTATTGGTCTCCACCCAGAAATACTAAACTGTGTGGCAAAATTTACCCTACAAGGTCTAGCTACTTTGGGGTGAAGTCATTTACAACCTCACTGAAGAGGTTCTGTGCCAAGAAGAAGGAAAAATAAACCCTACATTTACTGAACACTCTGATTTGGAAGGCCATTCAGTGTCCCCAAACAGCACGGCCACCACTGTGGTAGTTCAAAAGAAAAACAACACTCAATGCTGTCAGACACCCCAAGTCAGCCATACCTTCTACTTTCCTTATTATCTAAAGGACCACTGGGGCGCCTGGGTGGCGCAGTCGGTTGAGCGTCCGACTTCAGCCAGGTCACGATCTTGCCGTCCGCGAGTTCGAGCCCCGCGTCAGGCTCTGGGCTGATGGCTCAGAGCCTGGAGCCTGTTTCCGATTCTGTGTCTCCCTCTCTCTCTGCCCCTCCCCCGTTCATGCTCTGTCTCTCTCTGTCCCAAAAATAAATAAACGTTGAAAAAAAAAAAATTTTTTTAAAAAATAAAGGACCAGTGAACCCAAAAATTCCCTGGAGCCCCCTTGTTCACATCACTCTTCCTGGACATCAAAAAGAAACTAAGAGTGGGTTATGGTTCTTTACAAACTCCTAAATCGCCAAAACTACCCTGGAATAAATAAATAAATAGTCAGTCGTAGATAAAAATATGAAAAGTGTTATTAGATTTGCCTCACATAATAAAGAGAAAGAAAAGCAATGTTAAAAAGAAAGCAACACACAGGGTCAGCAAATAAATGATAGGATTCTTTTGATGGTGATATAGACAACCACTTACTTGACTCCAGATCATAAAATGAATAAAGTTTCTCCGATTCAGAGGGTGTTTCTTCCATCTATGAAGCAAAGGGGAAAAACACCAAAAACAATTTCAAGTGCTCTAATATATAAATGAATATATTTGACTATCTTTAGATATTTTAATAAAAGTCCGTTTAAAAAGACAACTTTCTATATATTCCTTCTCTTCATCACTTTCTTAGAGTTGAATTATTTAATCAGTAACAATTGTAAAATAAAATCTAAGTTGTGACTTAATCTACCAGTTTAATTTCCAAATGGAAAACTCTTTTACAACAAATTTTCATACTTTTATTTCTTTTTCCCCAGCTCTACCCACAGATTTATATCACTGTAAGGATTTTGCTACTAATTATTATAGAAAAGCAGAGATGGATGAATAAAATAATAATTTATTACAAACTGTAAAACTTTGAACAAGCTATCTCACCTTTCCTAATCTAAAACATAGTAATCATAGCACCTGATTCTCTGGGTTGATATGGGGAAAAATGAGGTTTATCGTGTAAAGCAATTAGGACAGGGCCTGGAAATAGGATGTGTTCAATAGAAGGTAGCTATTACTATAATTGCTTTCTATTAGATTCTGATGCAGTGGGTCCTGGTTCTCTATCTTTTCAATATTAATAAAGTAAAAAAAATTTCAGACTCAAATATTATAATGATCACAGAGATTAAAGAAATGCATAATAACAAAGTTGATCTGAATTTATTATCGCTTTGAAATAAATTTGTATTTTTTAGTTCAACACAATATATACATATGCAAATAGTGGTTAATTATACGATGGATGTCATATACTCAGTTCAAAGACAATGCCCATTTCATATTCCACATTCATTTTTTGGAAATTGAGATGTTACTGGCATATAACATCTTGTTAGTTTTAAGTGTATAATCATACTTTTACATTCTTAAAACTCTCTATTAAATTTTATAGCCCCCCCCCCCCAATAAAAGTCAATAACCAACAGGACAGAACAAAGCTGGAGACTGAAATAATTTGAGAAAGAGATATGCATGTGAAATTCTGGCCAAAAAAAGGTCTGGAGGGTATTGCCAGAGGTTTATTTCAAAGAATCTAGTGAATGTTTTGGTAAAGTAGGGGAAAGGACTGAAGAAACAATTTCAGTGAAACTTGGCTATAAAAAAAAAAAAAAAGATAATCACACTTTCATGTAAGATTAATTATCATCTGATTAAAACCTCACTTGAAGAAGCAACCAAAAAGTTAGTGCATAGGTTCACAGTCGAAAAGTAATGAAGGGAACATAACAGACATCACTGGCATCTCATGCCTTAGATACAGGACCTTGTGTTTCTATTCCCGGGAGGTCACACACACAGAGGGCCCTCAAAGGTGGTGCTGCCTCACCACCACTGAGGCTGTGACTAACAGGAAAATAGCAAGTTTCTGTCTTAAAATACTCCCTGGAGTAATCTACCTTCTCCCTTCATATGCGTTTAAAGACAGCCTTAAATATGAATAGTACCTGCAACTTCAAGAGCTTTGGCTAAATTAAACCCCTAGCATATTTCACGAATTTTATACTCACAAGTTTGAAAACAACTCTGCCAAGAAGTCGAACGGAATCCGGGGGATACCTGGGTTTGCAGCTTTTAAGACATTTGCATTCCCGCTTGTGGTCTTGCCAAGCTTTTTTCTGTTAAGATGAGAGTGGGGAGGGAACATGTGACAGAGAAATGTAACTTTCATTTACAATGGCTTTGAACATTGAGAGTCATCAACACTAATTTAATTTCAACAGCCTAAATAGAACTGAATAGAAAATGAAAGCAATATTCTAATACTGTTAATCATGCAGGATCCAGTCTTTGCCAAGCATGCAATTACCAGGCTGGACACCAAGGTTTCTGCTCCCGCTCTGTCCTTTAATATGCCCCATGGTTACTACCTGGCTGGTGGAGTCCAAAGAAAGAATCATTATGGCTTACTTAATAATGTATAAGATAGTCTTTTAGCTGATTAAATAGAGTTCAATAATAGATGGTAATTTTGAACACAAAAAGAAAATATCTCACCAAATTAGAAAATAAACACATGGTTCAGGAAAATTAAAAGAGGGCAGACAGCTTTCTGAGTTTCTGAGCTGCTACAGTGAGTACAGAAATATCAGGAGAGCTAACATACAATAAATATGAAACCTTCTGTATTTAAAGACAACACAGAAAAGGGTTATTAGCTAAAATGACTAAATGTCACTTGCCCAGGACCGTTGTGTTTTATTTATTTTGTGGTCCTGGCTTAATCATTAACAATTAATAGTGCCTCTTTTCATTCTGAAAAGTGTGGTCTGGATGATAAATTTCATGGTCCCTTAACCCATGATCCTAGCCATGTGCTGGTGTGGCTGAAAAGACTGAAAAGTGGCTGAGAAGTGAGCCAGTCACCAATCCTGCAACACTGTAGATTATGGACTCTCCCTGAGTCTTAGGGTCAGAAATGTTAGAGTATCCCCCTGTGAGCGGGAGACAGTTCAACCAAACGTCTAATATGTTCTATTCCAACAGGGCTGAAGTTCCATCACTGAAATGCATGAACAGGCATTGAATGAAATGAACAGGCATTCTTGCTTCACAAAGAATATAAATATATATATTCTTATATAAAGAATATAAATGTGCCTCCCAACTTCTGGCCCTATTAAAATTCCTCCAGGAGGAACTCCCTTTTCCATCCACAGCACAAACATGCAGTGCACCCAAAAATTTCAAAAGTGCAGCAGCTATTTTGAAAACTGACTTTGATTCAAGTTGAAGCCAGCATTTTGTTCAGAATCACTGCCCCTGCTGAGTTGCTGTATGAAACTGTGGCCCGTGTGCTATTTCCTCATAATCCAAATCTTGAAGACACTGTTTACAAGGGGTGTCTCACCTATTTTATCAACTCTACCCCTGGTTGCCTCACTTCATTTCTTTATATCCACCATGGCAATGCTTTTAATGTGATGTTTGTAATCTTTTTCTTTTAGTATTTATACTTCACTCATTTCTAAATAAGACTGTGTTGCTTCAAAGTAAGGATGTATATGAAATAAGTTTATAAAATTAGAAACAGAAAATGTTAAATCTATAAAACAAATAGTCCTCTAGCATTTATTGAGCATTCTACGGTATGTCAGACACATGGGTGGGCAATTAAAAAATGGTATTTCATGCGATGTTCACAAAAATCCAAATGGTAGATATTATCTTCTATTAAAGATTAATAAAATAAGGCTGGGATCTGACTACCAAGCTATGTAAACATAAAAGGGGAGTAAAAATTCTTAGTATGCCAAACAGGAGAGCTAAGTAAGTCCCATGTTCGTGCACTAAATTGATCTGGGCTAGGCAAAAAAAAAAAGCATAATGGCTTATATAACTCTCATCTGACAGGAAAGAAAAACACACGGCCTTACCAACTATCAAATCACAGGAGGAATTTATCCCAAGAATGCTAATTAATGTACTGGACAATGTCTTCAAAAACAGTTTATAGTTCTAATGGCCTTCATATAACTACTTCTAATGTCCCTACTTACTAAAAGGCATACTATTAAACTATAACTCAGGGAAAGAAAATGTTTCTATTTGTTTAAGAGGCTAGTCTTAGACTAGCAATTAGCAATTTACCAACATGTGTAAGATCACTTAAAAAAAAAACATGGTTCCGGGGGCGCCTGGGTGGCTCTGCTGATTAAGTGTCCGACTTTGGCTCAGGTCATGATCTCATGGTTCATGGGTTCCAGCCCCGTGTCAGACCCTGTGCTGACAGCTCAGAGCCTGGAGCCTGCTTCAGATTCTGTGTCTCCTTCTCTCTCTGTCCCTCCCTTGCTCACGTTCTGTCTCTGTCTTGCAAAAGTAAATAAAATATTTTTAAAAAACACATACTTCCATTGTCCAATAAGTTTGAAAAATGCTACATAATGTATACCCCACTTAGAGATCTGAAGTAATTTAGTTTGTGAGAAGTTCAGTTTGCTAAAAAGCTCTGCATTAAAGAAACGTATAAATTAGTTAACACAAGTTTCTCACGATTGTTACTGCTATCCTTTGGGAAGGTAGGTTGGTATATATGGGCTCAGATAAACTAAATTAGTGATATATTAGCTATTACATACTTTCCTTCATGTGATCTTTGAATTCATAATCATTCACACTGACAGGAAACTAGAGTGCTGATATTTTTTTACTTCTGATTGAAGGGAGAACCGTGACTTTGGTGGAAGACTTTTCATTCAGTATTAAAAGTTGAGAAGCCTGACGGATGCCTTCATTGGCCATGTGGGCAGGAATGAACCACAAGTGCCAATGGGTCTCTGAGAAAACATTCTGGCCCTGTTCAAAACCCGAGCAAGTGTCCAGATGACAAAGGACTGCACCTACCAAAATAAAGCTGAGACCATTTGGACCAAAAGATCTTAAGAACATATTTTAATCAATACTTGCTAGTACAAGAGATCATCCATAACCCCCTTACGTTTGGAGCAGCTCAGTCTCCTGACAGCTCAACCAGGGTGAAGTAGCTACAAAATGTACCCCTAGGTAACAAACCAGTTGATCTGTTAGGTGACATTATTTAGAAATAAACATTCAGGGGCGCCTGGGTGGCGCAGTTGGTTAAGCGTCCGACTTCAGCCAGGTCACGATCTCGCGGTCCGGGAGTTCGAGCCCCGCGTCGGGCTCTGGGCTGATGGCTCAGAGCCTGGAGCCTGTTTCCGATTCTGTGTCTCCCTCTCTCTCTGCCCCTCCCCCGTTCATGCTCTGTCTCTCTCTGTCCCAAAAATAAATAAACGTTAAAAAAAAAATAGAAATAAACATCCAAATTTTGGAGAATTCTTCTCAAAACAACTTTAGGTCTTTAGCATAATTAATATTGAGTTCTTATTTCTTAACAGTAATTAGAAACTAAACAGTATGTTTCTTAAGGCTATTCCTAAATTGCTGCAGGTGAAAACACCAGAGAACATATGTATCTCCCCATTTCTTCAGCAAAAAGATATCCATTCTTTTCATCTAAAAGCCAAGTCAAACCTATATAATAAACACAGAAAGGAATCATACCACTTAAAACTGGTCTAAAGCACAGTGTCAGCTTTACAGTCTACTTCCTATCTTACCATGATATTAAAACCATGTTTCTAAAATGTTAATTATTAGGATTTATTGTTCAGCTTCACCATCATATCTTACTATGAGGCTCACTATCAGAGGCAAACCACAGAGAAGGCTAAGAAAGCAATCTTGTAAGGAACTGCATCTGACTTTGAAGCAAAACTCTACAATCTTACAAAAACATTAGGCATTATCTTCACTCTACAAACTTTAACCTTGATCTAGACCTCAACAGCTCATAATCTATCTGCCAGTTTTCTCAAAGACAACCTTCTTGATTTACTTTTTCCTACTTTTTTCCATTACTGAAATGCAGGATGTAATTAAGATTTTGTTCACAATACTGGCTGTAATGTTTTCTGTTCTCATAGTTGAAAACTAACAATAATGTACAATAGGCACAAATTAGCATGAAAGACAAAGGAAATTTAAATATTGCATTAAGACACAAAGACAATGGGAAAAAAGAGTCTGAGATGGAAAAGAAAAGGAAATGAAGACATCTATGACTCAATTCCATGTATTGGTAAATGAATGACTCAAAAAACAACTTCAGAATCTCTACATTTTCATGTGTGGTAGTATTTATATTGATACAGAACATAAACTAAACCAGTAGCTCCCAGGGTGCCTGGAGGGGCTCAGTCAGTTCAGAGTCCAACTCTTGATTTCAGCTCAGGTCATGATCCCAGGTTCCTAGGATCGAACTCTGCATTCGGCTCCACACTGAGCAAGGAGCCTGCTTAAGATTCTCTCTCCTCCCCCTCCCGCCCCTACCCTGCACATGCTTTTCTTTCTC